AGAGCTTATAAATTATAAAAATGGGGATGCTTCTTTTGATACTTACAAAAATATTAAAAATATTAATTCTAGAATCTTCTGGTCATGATTCTCCAGATACTCTCCGCTTCTTCGACAATTTGCTATAAAGATCTTTTCAATCGTTCTCTATGCAGCAGCTGTTGAATACTTATTTTCTAGCTTGAGGCTAGTAAAAACAAAATCATGAAATAGAATATCTACTATCTTAATAGGAATGCTTGAAATGCTTTGTCACAATTTTCATCAAAAACTATCTAAATCATTAAAAAAAAAAAAATTAAACTTTATCTACAAATACTACAAATGTTACTGATACTGAGAATTCTAATATTGATCTTTTGTTTGAAGAAAAAGAACTTGAAGAAGAGACTTTAGAATTTGATATCGAAGCAGTAAATATTGATATGAGGGATGAATTAGTAATAAAAAAATTCCTTGATATAAATACATTCAGACAATGTCAAGACAATAAGACTTGTCTTCAAGAATCTACTACTAGTACTAAGGATGGACTAGTGATTGAACCTATCTTAAAAATACAACCTGGGTTACTTGACAGGTAGACCCGCAGGTCATCCAAGTAAACAGACAGGTCTACTCGAGTACAAAGATTATTTGTCAAACCTGGGTTAGAATAAAAATTTATTAAATCTTTAAATACTATATTATATACAAAATCCTTTTTGATATAGACACTGTAAATTAGACCCACTCATATACAAACTAACCACAGGATCTTAAGTTTACCTTGTTACAATATAAGTGCTCAACTGTATACTATACCTAGATCTATTATAGATTTTATAAAATAGGTATAATATAACAGACCCGGCCTCATATACGATCTTTTATGATAGTAGCTTAAAGAAAAAATAGATTAATAAACTTTGTGATCATGATTCAATGTTGTACTGTTAATAGCAAGTCCAATAATATACAAACTTTAAGCTAAATATAGGTAAATATTTAATAAAAAATAAATTGCTTTGATTTTTTTTTTTTTGACAGAATTTTTATTTTTATTTGTATTTAAGGCTTAGATAGAATTCATATGCTAAAGCCGTAAAATTCTAGTTTAAAACCTGATATGATTATAAAATAATCAAGGTAATGTTGTTACTAGAGTTCAAAATGAGCCGGTCCAAAAAGCCCAACAGGCTTTTTTTAAAAATTAATTCTGGCTATTTTTCATAATACTGGCCATATAATAAATTATTATGTTACCAGTATTATGACAAATAGCCAGAATTAATTTTTTAAAAAGCCTATTGGGCTTTTTGGGCTGGCCCATTTTGAACTCTAGTTGTTACTAACCTTAAGTTAATACTTTTATTTAACCCTAGTCTTAAGTTCATTTAGCCTTAGTCCTAGTTCAAACCCAAGTTTATATGTTCAAACGACAACACTGAGATTCTATAGATTTTAAGAATTTCGTCAATTTCAAAGTAATCGAAATATAAAGATATTCTATATCTCTGAAATTTCTTCAATCATTGTCACAAAAATCATATAGGCACATTTTTTTGTAAGTACCAAGAGTTGAATTTTTAATAAATACTTCTTGGCTTATGGGTACATATAAAGAAATATAATGGCTATATTATTAAAAATGATCTATTTATAATTATAACCCTGCAAACTTAGTAGCTCAAATACTTGAAATGATTAGTATATATAATATTTGTAAATTAATATATCACATATATATATATAATAGCATAGATTCATTACTATTATATACTGGGTATTTGATAAGTCCCTGAACAGGACCTTTTTTATATTTCCAATAGTATTAAATTTTTTTTTTAATCACTAAATAAATTACAATGCTATATAAAAAAAATGTAATAATCAGTAATAATATAATCTTTTTATTTAATACTATCGGAGATATAAAAAAAGTCCTGTTCTGGGACTTATCAAATACCCAGTATATATACTACATATATATAGTTGACTAAATACTCCATTGGCTTATAGATAGCCCATGGGTAGACTCATAGATAGGCCTATAGATAGATCTACAGATAGATCACAGGTATACCTGTAGATTAACCTATCCAAGTCTACCTAGGTAGACATAATCATAACCTGAATACCCGACTCACTTAGATATATCTGGATCAGTTCTACCCGGTTTCAATTACTAGATTGGACAATTGATGATATTTTTTTCTAAGCTGAAATTTAATAAAATTGTAATCACTATATCCCTTAGATTGTAACACAGGCAAATTTGCCTGCATATTTTAAAATTTTTAATAAAATTTTAAATATTGAT